TGCTGGCATCAGTTATTAAAAGAAAATTTAGTGACTCAGGAGGAGAGAATCAAGGACTGGCTGTGGGGCACAGGGGATGGAGCCAGCCTGAGGGTTATCTAGAGTCCATTCACGGGGACCCCTGAGAACACAGGTCCAGAAACCAGGAGGTAAAGGGATGGGGTCTATGCACAGGTACTCTCCAGCTGCTCCTCTGGAGATTGCTCAGGAGGCTGAGAATCAGGATGAGGATGGAGGCAGAAGACAGAAGAGGAGAGGGAAGGAAGGGGTTGTTGGCTACTATGTGGGTGTTGTTTTATTTTGTTTTGTTTTGTTGTTTTGGTTTGGTTTTGGTCTTTTTGAGACAGGGTCTCCCTGTAGCTCCAACTGGCCTAGAACTTGCTATGTAGACCAGGCTGGCCTTGAACTCACAGAGATCCCCCTGCATTTGCCTACCAAGTGCTGGGATTAAGGGCATGGAAAATGGGACAGTGACCTACACATTAACATCCTTGAGGGGGGAGCTGGTGTGGGGATGCCAGGTGGAACTTGGAACCACGGGCACAGGACCCCTCCGTTAAGATTTCCTTTTCCACTTGGAAAAATATCCCTGTATATGGATATCCCAGTCTTTCACTCTCCTCCCCACCTGGTGATCTTTTGCCCTCCTGGGGTCATGTGACTGGAGTAAGTTTATTGGAACTTTAATGGAGGACTCTGGGAAAAAAGAAAACAGGAGCGAGAGGGGAAGAGCACCTGGACACTCCACAGAGCCACTTTATATAGGCACAACACACTAGCACCCACACCATGCCCTCCCTTACAGCAGGATGCTCAGGGTTTGAATCCATCGTTCCTGGTGCCCCCTTCCTCACCATCTAGTCTAACACAGGAGGATGCTCACTCTTGCCCCATCTCAGTCCACCCCCTCCTGCTCATTTCAATCACAGACCAGGCATCACTGAGCCTCAAAAAGTACATTACATTACAAGGATCAGCTCCCCCCGCCCACCGCCAAATAGAGATGGGTGAATGGAAGGGGTGTGGTGCAAAGGGGACCGTACTAGACAGGAAATGGCCTCTGGAACCAGATGTTACTTGCCCCTACCCCAAAGGCAAATCTCTGTCCTTTCTCCTGAAGGTGAGCTTGACCAAGCAAGAGTTCCTGGTGGGCAGGTTGGTGTTGAATCTATGAATCTTTTCTCTTGTTGGTAGGGCTCAGTGCCTATCAAAATTGGAAGGCATAAGCCTGAGCCCCCCGCACCGGGAAACAGTGGAAGGTTTTGAAGGACTGAAGGCAGCTTCCCAGGAGCCTGCAGCCCACTCTGACAGAGCCTGGGCACTTGGCAGAGGCTGATTCCTGCTTGTTACACCTTGGCTGGGCAGCCTTGACCTGGTAACCCTGTGCTACCTGGAAGGGGTCTGAGGGCCACTACACCATGGCTGTGAGGTCTCCAGACTCCATTCATACCCCATTCACTTCTGAAGGTGAAACTGGGGCAGGGGTGGGCAGAACAGGGCACAGCAGTGTGTGATGAAACCACACTGACTTTCTGGCCATCTTAAGCCTTAACTCTACCCAGGTAGCTAGAACAGGCCACATTCTCAAGCCAAGAAGGAACTGGAAGAGATGCAGGAAAAACGGGAGGGGCTCCACATCACTCTTTCACACCAGCCTGGAGGGACCAGCTACATGGAGAGATAGATAGCCCACCAGGTCCCTACCTCTGGGGAAGGGGAGGGGAACTGTTCATGTTACTCTTCTTTCAGTGCTGAGGATTGAACCTGGGTCCTTGCACAGGCCAGGCAGGAGCTCTATGACCAAACTATATCTCCAGCTTTCTTTCGTTTTTTTTTATTTTATTTTTACATTATATTTATGTCTCACTTAGTTGCCAAGGTATGCTTTGAACTCACTCTGTAGCCCAGACAAGCCTAGAGCTTGTGATAGTCCCACCTCAGTCTCTCCAGTAGCTGGGATTACAGTTCTGCCTGTCCCTATCCCCTTTCAGCAGACTCGCCTACTAAGTATGGTTTCTGTGTGGACGCCATCCTTGTCCATAGGGAGCTGGGAGACAGTGGGAGGTGCTCTGGGGTCTGGCCGCCGCCCTGACGGAGCACACCCACTTCCATCAAGTTCATCGGACTGCTTGACGCAGTGCGAGGCGCTGAGGAGGGCCGCGCCAGCCCATTTGTGAACAGAGTCCTTGCATTTGTGAGCAGCTGGGTGGCGAGGGTTGGCCATGAGGAGATAAGGGGTTGGGGGCAGTTTTCTTCACATCCTAGTTTCCGTGGCATCCCACAGGCGCTTTCCTGAAGAAGCCTCAGAACAGAGGGTGAGCTGGCTCACTCCCACCTCGTCTTTCCCACGGTGGTCTAGCCTGGGCCAGAAGGGGAGGATCTGACTGCAGGAAGATGTGCAGAACTTGGTGCCGATCCCCCAGGGAAGACCGTAGACCTCCGAGACCTTCCGGGTCTCCTCAGAATCCTCCTGAATTTGAGTCCATGTTAAGAGGCCTCTCTCCTCCCGGCTGCCTGAGAGGGGACAGGGAGAAGTCAAGATGGGGTCTTGATGGGGCTGCAGGAGCTTCGGGCACCCCTCTGCAGGCACCAGAGGCCTCCTGGCAGTGCCTGAGCACATAGTGGCTTCCTTCCTCCTCTGACCCCCCCGCTCCAAGCCCTGGCAAGGACTGCAGCTGCCCTCTGCTCGCTGGGCATTCTCGGAGCTCCTACTGCGCTGCCCAGCCTCCAGGCACAGTCATGGAGCCATACAGCTCTCCTCACTCTGTGGAGCAGGTCTGTCCACGTCTCAGTGTTTGTGGAAGGCAGGCACGTTTTATGCTTTCTGCTTTGTAGAGACTGGAAGTGTGCAAACCAGAACACCATGAAGCAGGTGCAGGCACAGAGGGCCTCAGGAGAGGTGCGGGGGGGGGGGGGGCATGCAGAAGAGAGAGGTGGGTGTGGACCACACTCCGAGCCTCTATGTTCTTCACAGTCAGCTTCCCCGACCCCTGCATACTCAGCATCCCAGCACTTAGGATCAGTATTGTGCTTTCTGTTTCCTTCCTCTTTCCCCTGCTAGCCTGTGGATTTCTAAAAGGCAGAGGCATGTCTCACTGTGTGTACAGCACCTGCTAAACAGCAAATACTTAGTGGATTGCTAGGAATATGAATGAATGGTATGTACATGGCTTCCCTCATTAAATATAGTGTAGGCTTTAAGAGGGCCAAGGGCCTCTCTTTTCCCCTTTGCTTCTGGGATAGCTCCCATTTTAGGGCCCTGCTATAGCTGCACTGGGCCTCCTAAAAAATCCTGGCTGCTTTTGCAGAGGACCCCAGGTTTGGTTCCCAGCACTCATGTGGCAGGTAACAACCATCTACAATTCTAGTTCCAGGGGATCAGATGCCCTCCTCCTGCCTCTGTGGGTATTGCACACACATGGTGCATTTACATGCATACATGTAAGGTACTTGTATACATAAAATAAAACTAACTAAATAAATAATAATAAATAAAAATTTAAAATCATTTGTTAAAAGCCTAATTCCAGGTGTCTGAGAACGTACCTGTATTTCCAGACAGTGCTTTTAAAGAGGTAATTATGTTACAATGAGGCTGTTGCTAGGTCAGCCTAAACCAGTGTGTCTTTATTTTGAGAGAAAGAGAGGGAGTCTCAGGTATTCTAGGCTAGCCTCAAACTCACTCTATTGCTGAGGATAACCTGTAACTCTGATCTTCCTGCCTCCACCTATCCAATGTTAGGATTACAGGTGTCCACCACCACCACGTATGTGGAGCTGGGATGGAAACCAGGATTTTGTGTGTCTAGACAAGCACTCTAGAAACTAAGCTACAGCTCCAGCCCCACCTGTCATCTCTATACAAAGAGATTATATCACACAGAGAGACACCAGGACCTGTGACCACAGAGCAAAGTCTATGGAATCAGCCTGCCTCAGATGTCTGGCATTGAGGACTGTGAGAGATTTCTGTTGTATATTTCCCCTACTCTGTGATGTTTTTCCACAGCGGCCCAAACTGACCATTACAGGTAGTGCTTTATCCCTACTCCAGCCTCAGGTCACTCAGGGCATGCTATTAACAGCCTGAGCCAGTAACTGAACAGAAACTCTCCAGTGGCCCCTAACACTGTCCATCTATCCACAAGCCTAGCCGCAGGCTGGGTAGAGCCTTACCAGGGATGGTGTTGTCTAGGACAAAGCCCAGAAATCCACCGACAAACATGCTCGTGGTCAGTAGCACCTGGATGACTTGGTCCAGCTGGATAATCCCTGAAATGAGGCAAAAGTGACAATTCACAGGGACTAAGGGCCCCGCTGTCCCACACCCAGAGGAGCAACAATCTTGAGGGACGGAGAGTCTCACCTGTCTGCAGCTTCTCGGGGTTCTTATTCACCCAGTTGGGGATGGCGAGTCCACAGAAGATGGAGAAGCCAAACACAAAGAGGTTCCTGGATGAATTCATGTCCACATACTGCGGGAGAAAGGGCCCCAGAGGCCAGTGGGGTCATATGTGCCTTTATCACATGTACACTAGGGCTGATTTGGGAAGCTGGGATGCTGTTGGCTGTTTCCTTTTTGCATTTGAGGGTCAGTGTGGCTTCTGGACCAAGGATTCCCTTCCCCTCCACCTCCTCCCCAGCCATGCCCCTCCCATGCTTCTCCATCCCGTGAGCTCCTCTCAGGAAGGGTGGCACGTCTGTTCAATGAGGTGCCTTGTGCGCCTCACCTGCAGGTTGGAGATCCCCACAGCACTGATGACCCCGAACATGACCAGGAACATGCCTCCAATCACTGGTGTTGGGATAGTGGCAAACGCAGCCCCGATCTTCCCAAACATGCCCATCAGGAGTAGCACACAGCCCGCTGCCACAATCACCATCCTACTTCCCACCTGCAGCACCCAGGGAGAGGGGATAGGAGAACCAGTTCAGGCAGATGCCCCGAAACCTGCTCCCCATCACCTCCAGCACTGCTGCAGTGAGTGTACAGGGGCCACACCATGCATGTATGCAAAAACGGCCCCCATTTCCATGGGGGATAGCAAATAGGAAGGTGGGATCTTGACTGGCCTCTGCCCTCAGCCTCTCTGCCCTGCCCTTCACACCTGTTGGGCAAATCATAAACCTCTCTGTTAGCCTCCACATTACCTCATGGGATTAGTAATACAACTCAATCCAGTAAGATAATGTGTGTGAATGCCTGGAACAACATTCATTAAGCAGAGTGAGCATGCTCAATAAAGAGGAACGGATTTGTGCAAAAGGCAGAGGTGTGAGGTTCTACTGTGGCGTGGGCCACCTCTGTGTGTGGCTTGTGCTTGGTCTACTGGGATCACAAGTCTCTATTTCCCTAGCAGATCACCTACTTCCTGTCCTAGTTACTGCCTACTGCTGTGATAAAACACTGACCAAAACAGATGTGGGGAGGAAAGGGTTTATTTCATCCTACTCTTCCATGTCACAGTGCTTCACTGAGGAAAACCAAGACAGGAGCTCAAGCAGGGCAGGAACCTGGAAACTGGAGCAGGGACTATGGAAGAACGCTGCTTAATGGCTTGCTCCTCTGGCCTGTGCTCAGCCTGCTTTGTTTATTTTTGGTCTTTTTGAGACAGGGTCTCCCTGTAGCCCCAGCTGTCCTGGAACTCACTATGTAGACCAGGCTGGCCTTGAACTCACAGAGATCTGCCTGCCTCTGCCTCCCAAGTGCTGGGATTAAAGGCATGTGCCACCATCCCCGGCATCAGCCTGCTTTCTTATACAACCTAGGACCACTGCCCAAGGATGGCACCACCCACAATAGGCTGGACTCTCTTACATCACTCAACAATCAAGAAAATACCTCACAGGCATGTCTACCGGCCAAGCTGACTGAGACAATTCTCCAATTGAGGCTCCCTCTTCTCAGGTGTGTTAAGTTGACACCTATCCAGCACACTCCCCAAACAAGAATCCTATTCAGATTTCCCACACCTGCTTCTTGCCTGCAGCACTGTATGAATAAGCTTCTCTGGAGACACTTGTGTTTAATATGTCACAGAAGGCCAGAGCAGGAAGGAAACCCGGAGGATGCCTTGTGCATGCTTCTCCTTTTGTTTAAGAGAAAGCTTTAGCCCAAAGTGGAGCAAGGAACCCAAGGCCACATGGGAGTCCAGTGGGAACAATGTCAGGGTCTCCTGCGCTCAGCTGAGCCATCAGCCCTCTGGGTTTGTCCACAGCCCTATAAGTTCATGGCTATGTGGGTGCTTGAGATACACCACATTCATTTCAATAACCGTGTTTCCTGGTATTTTGTAAATGGGGCATCTATTTTCTTAGCAAGAGGGAAAGACGCCAAGCAGGAAAGCTAATGAAGGAAGCAGATAACTTCCATCAGCAACCCAGTATGTGCTGAAAAGAGAGTCCAAGACAGTAGGCAGCGAGGGAGACTCCATGGGGGCTGGCTAGTGGAGGGCTGGTCAGCCGGGAGAATACGACACAAGGGAAGAGGAACAGCACACTAAATTTTGGTGGGAAAATGTTCTAGAGAGGAAGTAGCACATGTGGACTCTGTGGTAGGAGGACCTGGGTGGTTTAAAAGCAAAAAGAAAATTAGTGTGCCCAAGTTGCACTACCCAGGAAAGAGTGGGAGGCGGAACCCAGAGCAAGGCATGGGCTCCATCCTACAGTGTTCTGAAGTTCAGGGGAGGAGACATAATGATCCAAGAAGAAGGCAGAAACAAAATGTGGCATAGCCATACAGTGAGGTATTATTCGGTCTCCCAAAGGAAGAAGTTCTGACACTTACTACAACATATGGATGAGCTTGAAAGCATTGCACTAAGTGACACAGTCAGTCACAGAAAGACAGATAGTATGGCTCTACTTAGGCGAGGTCTAAAGAGGAGTCAAATCTACAGGGACAGAAAGCAGGAAGAAATGCCAGAAGCTGGTGAAAGGAGGAGCTGGGAGGAAGGGTGGAGAGGAGGGGGATAGGCTGGGATGAAGAGTGGGGAGTCCAGTGGAAGATGAGAGGAGGGTGGGCAGTGCCAGTGTTTGCATAACAATGTGAATGCCCTTAACACCCCAGCACTGCAGCCATATTAATCCCCTCACTCAAAAGGCAGGACTCAGACCTGTGAGGTTAGCCTGGGCTACATACTGAGAACCTGTATCAAAATAATGGGGGGACAATATCAAAGTATATTATGTATATATGAAATTGTGAATGAATAAAGATTTAAAATATATAGTTTGAAAACAAACCTACTGCGCTATTTAGAAATGGTTACCAGAGTAAATGTTATGTTATATGCATTTACCACAGTAAAAACAAACAAACAAGTAAATCTGAAGAAAAGAGAAACCTATTTGGCTTTTAAACAAAGTTGTGGCATGATGTGATTCCCAGTCTGAAAGTTTCCTCCAGAAAAGGCATTTCATTATAATAATCAATAGATTCCCCCCGATTAGAGCAATAATAGAAGATTCCTCAACAAGTAATCATTACAGAATTCTATGAACTATGATTCCACCTTTGACTGTGAGAGGTTCACTTAGAATCCAAATCATATGGCACATCATTAGCCAGTCCTATGCAGGACCATAAGTCATTCCCCCAATTCATTTCTGTGGAGGACTGATTGTCTCTGTGCCACCTGCTTCAGGACACACAAAGAGACCTAAAGACATACATGCACACAGATGCACAAACACACAGAGATGCATGCATAAACTCAGAGTTGTACAAACACGCAATTGGTTTTTCAAAAGAAGCCGGGTGTGGTGGTGCAAGCCTTTAATCCCAGCACTGGGGAGGCAGAGGCAGGCAGATCTCTGTGAGTTCAAGGTCTACATAGTGAATTTAGGACAGCTAGAGCTACAGGGAGACCCTGTCTCAGACAAAAAAAAAAAAAAAAAAAAAAAAAAAAAAAAAAAAAAAAAAGATACCACAATGCAGCTCCATTCTACAGGATGCAAGTTTCAGAGCTCCATTGAATAACAATGTGAATATTCTAAACACCAGTGAATGGTATACATCAAAATGGCTATGATGGTAAATTTATGGTTTGTGTTTCTTAGCACAATCGTAATCTTTTAAAAAGATACACTATCAGGAGGCAGAGGCTTTGTTTACAACCTCGACAATTAACTATGAGAAAAGGCAGAACTGCAAGTACAATAATCATTGTCAGGTTCAACCAACGCCCTTCCGACACTCTGACAGCCTCCTAAGGCTGTCAAGCCCCAGTCCCATCATCATGTGAGCTTACTGAGGAGCCCTGGGCCTCCTTTGGCCTCAGAATGACATCTGGGCTGGTAGCCACAACATCTTGAAGAAGTGACGGGAGCTCTGTGGCCTTCAGTCTGATCTCCCCCTCCAGCTCCCCAGCACCCCGCTCCACCCCCAACGGGGGAAAGAGCTCATCGTTGCAATGCCTAAAAGTACCACAAGAGGGAGTATGAGCCCATAAAACAAGTGGTCTTTGCACCTGTACCTCTCTCAAAGTTAATCTCAGCCTCCTATTTGATTTGTAGCTTGCCCTGTGTCTGTGTGACTTTTTCCCTAAAAGGCCTCAGTTAAGAAACTATGCCCAAAGAAATGTGTTTTGTGTGTTGAACATCATTCTCTGTTCTTTACACAATCAATTTCCTTTAACAGGAAGGAAATCTTTGCTGCTTCATCCTTTACGTAGCCCTCTGCTATGCTTTGGATGAGTTCACAGCCTTCCTGTGGAAAATGTTGCCCTTACCTTCACTAAGGGTTGTGAAAGCCCTCTGGGCAGGTATCAAAAACTCTAGAATGTCACTGAACCCAGAAGCTACTACAGAGGTGGCTCTGGCTGGGGGAAAGGGGGAGAGGGTTGCTCAAGGATTTCAGCCCCAGCAGTGGCAGAGGTCACTTGATGTCCACAGGTGGAAGATACTGTGCCACCAGACTGCACACTGGAGCCATCTGACAGTGAGAGCTGGGGTGCTAGGGGGAGGAGAATCTGTATTTTTCCAGAGCTCACAGAACTCATGCTGGAAAGCCTTGAAAAGATATACTGAAAGTGGAAAGTGACACAGCACTATTGTTTCTATGTCGTTTAGAAACACCATCCCAAAGATTCCTTACGGATCTTACAGATATTTCTAATAGGAAGAGAAAGGGGGGAAATGAAGAAATTTTAGGAAGAGACTAGTCAGAATTGCATTCTAGAAACTGGGCAGCTATGTCATAGATGGACTGGAGATAAGCAAGCTTCTGGGAGAGAGATTGGGAGACCCCAAGGTGCAGGAGATGGTCAGGCCGTGGCACCAGGCAGGGAGCAACGAGGACAGGCCAGGGAGCCATACTGAGGAGCTAGAACCTAGAGGTGAGACATTAAAGATGACATAGGTGGCATGGGCATGGTGGCACAGGCCTTTTATTCCAGCACCTGAGAGGCAGAGGCAGGCAGATCACGGTGAGTTCAAGGCCAGCTTGGACTACATAGTGAGTTCCAGGCCAGCTGGGGCTACTGGGAGACCCTGTCTCAAAAAGACCAAAAAATAAAAAATAAAAAAATAAAACAGTGACATAGGTGGCAGGTGGACTCACTGAGACAAGAATGGCAAAAGTTGGTGGACTCGTGTGTGTGTGTGTGTGTGTGTGTGTGTACGTGTGTGCTTCAGAGGCCCTTGAATGTAAGAGGTTCAGAGGCCCTGAGGCAGGTCTGACTATGGAATGTTCAGGGTCAGGCTGAAGGTAATGGGGTTCCTGCCTAAACTTTAGGAAGGCAAGACTTTCCCCAGTGCTTATAAAAACACTATCTTCAAGTGCCAGGAGAAAGACCTTCTACTTGGACAACTGTCACAACCAAAGAAGGCCAAGTGTTGGAAGCAGGCTCGTCACCCCTGTAAAGATCCTGATGTCCTGAGCCACCAGCCCCAGAGTAGGTTGTTTCACTGTGCATAGCAAAGGGAATTTGCAGAGATGCCTGAGTTAGGGATGGCAAGCTAGGGAGGGCCACAGTAACCATGTGTGTGTTTGTGGGCAGACAACCTTTCATGGCTGTGACAAGAGAAGATGGAGGGACCCCGGCCAAGCCTGTGGAGAAGGCCTCCAGAGAGGAATACAGCCCTGCCCGCACCTCCATTTCTATCCTATAAGGACCCAGCCCCATTTCTGACCTCCAGATTGATCAGTATGGGTTGTCTAAAACCAGCTTTTGTGATTTGTCACAACAACAACAAGAAATTAACTTGCACAGACCCGGTCCACCCCAGAAGCCTCCATCAGCAGCCTTACCCTGGTGATGCCCAGTGCTCCGACATTCTCGCTGTAGGAGGTGGTGCCATTCCCTGTCCCCCAGGCTCCTGCCAGTAGGCAGCCAAGGCCCTCAATGCCAATGCCACGGTTGATGGCATGCTTTGGAGGGGGTGGGGCCCCCACTAGTCGAGCACAGGCATAATAATCACCCACTGACTCCACCATGGAGGAGATCACTCCAGCGATGATCCCAAAGACCCCAGCCAGGCTGACGGTGGGGAGGCCCCACTGCCCTGCAGAAGTAACACAAGGGGATGTCTGGTCACAGGATGCCGCTGAACCCAAGTTGCTCTTTGCTAGAAGCATCTTAAAGCCTGGGCCATTTTCACAACTGTCCAGAGGCCTTGGAAGCTAGCACCCTGCTCCTCCACCCTGAGGGTGGGTCAGATGCCCAGAAGTGGAGGTCACCGGGTACAGAAAGGCAGACATGGGGCCTCCTCTAAAGGAGGGCTTGAAGCTGTTGGATGCTGAAAGTCCCTTCTGGAAGGCCATGCTACGTCCACAGTCCAGGAGCTAGGCGGGCTCCTCTTGGCTCCGGGTTACTTTCATATCATGAGCTTCAGGGTGAGACCAGAAGTGATCTAAAGAAAACTCCCGACTCCACAGATATATTCTAATTCAGCCCTGAGCCTCCCTTGTGTGAGAGCCACGGAACGCATCAGAACTCAAAGATCAGGGCAGAGATCAGGCCCTCCCTCTTCCTTCCTCACAGACCCCTGCCTCCAGGCCAGGGGGATCTGCGCAGCATGGAGGAGGTCTGGGAGTAGGGACATACGGTCTACCATTCCCAACAAGTCTTGGAAACAAGCTGGGCCTAGGGGTACAATATGTAATCCCAGCTGCTCAGGAGGTTGAGGCAGAAAGATCACAAGTTCAAGGCTTGCCTGGACCACTGAATGAATTCAAGTCCAGCCTGGGCAGCTTAGCAATACTCTGTATCAAAATAAAAAGCAAAAAGAGGGCAGGGATATATACAGCAATTGCATACCAGGTGTGATACCCTGGGTATCACACATGCACACACACAAACACACACACACACACACACACACACACACACACACACACTTACACTCCCAGCTGGGGCTACTGGGAGACCCTGCCTTCTTAGAACAATCTGGAATCTTCCACTTCACTTTCTTCTCTTAGGAGTCAGATATGGTGTCCCTGGGGCCTGTCCCTCCTCACCAATCCCTCCCCCAGCCCTGTTCGACCCTTCATGCAGTACCCTACGCCCCATAGACAACCCCAAGAAACATGTTTCCCAAGCAAGAAGGGCCCCCACTTTTTCTCACCTGGGTATGGGAAGCGAAACCAAGGGGCCTGGCTCAGGACGTTGCTCTTGGTGTCTGTGCGGGCCTGGTACCCATATGCCGTGGGGGCCACAGGGAAGGTGTTGGTGACAGTGAGCACAAAACAAAAGAGCCACGAGATGCAGAGGGCCAGCAGCACCTGCCAAAGGGAACCGCCCTTCACATTCTGCCTCTCCCACCTCCTTCCTCTGAGGAGGGAGCCAGGAAAGCTGAGACCAGACCCTGCTGGTTACAGACCCAGCTAGAGACAATGGGAATCTGGTGTGTTCATGGATAAATGAACAGAGGCAGAGAATATACAGTATGGGAGGAGACTTGGGGTATAGTGGGGGAGACATATCCACATGGGGTATAGCATGTGGCAAAAGAGTCATAATCTTGCTCTTTCCACTATGTGCTGATCACATGACCTAGGAGCAAACACAGAGCCTCAGTTTCTTCATCTGTGCAATGGATTATAACCATTGCCCTGCAGAGCCTGAAACACGGTTTCTTAAATTTGGGTCCTCAGAAATAGACATTTTAAATCTCTGCTGGCAGGATGCCTAGCACTCCATGTTTTAGCAAGGTTCTTCCACTGGGAAATGCTGTTGCCTGAAGAGGATAGCGCAGTAGGAAGCTATTGCTTCTGGGAGCCGGAGACCCATAAGCATGTGCACCCTGAACTGTAGAACCACTGGCCTGTGAGATTGCTGCAGAATCGCTAAGACTATTATGTGGAGGAAATACAGTTTACAGTTAAATTCAACATGAATACATATCTACATGGGTGACAGTTCTGCACACTCCACAAGGTGGTGTGACTTCAACAGAGAAAGCTCTGGAAAGGCAAGAGCACCTTCGCGGGTATTTGAACACTGTGAAAGACAATGGTGTTTCATCATGTCACTCATTAGAGGTGAACCTAGCTGTTGCTCCCATATCTCGTTATGAGGACAGCTGGAACATAAGGCTGTTACCCAGAGCAGTGACCTAGGGCTTCTGAGATGGTACAGCATCAAGCACTGGGGACACACACCGCACACTTGAGGCCTCCTAGGAAGAGTCCTCTCTGCAGGTGAGGGAACATTCTATTTGGAATGTGCCAATCAGGCACAGGGAGGTTACTCTATATGGTCCAGGTAAACCAACAGTGAAGACAGTGAGGGGTGCTCCTTACTGGAAAGACCTGGAACAGATAGAACTTGGAGGTGTGACACTTCTTCTCTCTTCCATAAACAGGCACAGGCACTGCAATGTTCCTCAGGTACTGAGAAAACAGCACGATGAGGAAGACGGTCCTGAAACAGAAGCAAACGAACACACTCAATCTGGTGGGCTGGGTTCTTCCTTGTGGGGGCACAGCAGGCTGTGGAAATGGGCCAGGAAGCTGAGCCACCATGTGTCCATGGCACACGCAGCCTCGCTGGGTCCCTATGATAAGCACAAGCTAGAGTCCAGCCATCACTGAAGGGGGTTGAGCCCCACTGGGAGATGCTGTTGGCTGAAGAGAAATAGTGGGATAGGAAGCTATCTCTTCCGGGAGTCCGAGAGAAATGAGCTGCTGGTAGAAGGCACAAGTCAGTAAGATACCATGAGGCCAGAGTCAGAGATGTCCCCCAGGCAGTTCTGCAAATCTGATGCCCCTCCCACCTCCTCTCAGACCAGAAGGAGCAGAGTGAATGAGAATGCTACCCCCAAGTCCCTCCAAAGCTCAGTTGAAATGCTGAAGGGTTCCATGAAGTCTCCCTGAACCTCCCAGGTAGCCGTCATCACCTCCCACAAACACCTGATCCCTGTACACACACAGCACCCTCTGACTCATGGCTGCCTCCTGGTATGTTGGGTTCTTAGATCCCAATCTTCTCTCCTAGACTAACAGCTAGGAGCCATTTTTGTAACCTTCTCAGCTCAGTGAAATCATGGCAGGCAAGGTACCCTACCAGTAGGTTAACTTTTTATAAACACTACATGCTCGTATATACCGATATGATTACTGGTTATCTCTGAGAATTAATAAGATAAAAAATAACTAACAGTCATAATGAATTTTTAAAAAATATTTCATTTATTATTTTGCCTGCACGGAAGTGCACCCGTGTCATGCAATGCCCGCAGAGGACAGAAGAGACTGTCGGATCCCCTGGGACTGGAGTTACGGACAGTTGTTAGCTGCCATGTGGGTGCTGGGATTCGAACCCAGGTCTTCTGCAAGAACAGTCAGTGTTCTTCATTACTGGGCCATCTCTCCAGCCCCAGTCATAATGAATTTTAAGAGCAATTGTGATACTTTTTAAGGTATGATGATGTCTGTGGAAATATTTGTAAGCCACCAGAGTTTGCCAGTATCCCGAACTCCCATTATGCCTAGTAGGCAACCTTCCACTGGAGAGGGCTGAGATGGCCTGCTCCGACCCCCAGAGTACTTACAGGAAGGAAATCCCCCAGTGGATCCCAGCATCATTGCCTGCAGAATCAAAGAGAGGCAGCGCCACCAGAGAAATGGTTGGAGCGATGGTCAGGGGGCCAATGAAGTGCAAGAGAAAACCAATGAGGCCAGAGAAGCCCACAAGTATCTGGACACAGGAAGCCACCATGACAGCACCCTGCAACTGAAGGAAAGGGTGGACGTCAGCCCAGCGCAGGTCCCACAGGCCCAGCTGCCCCCTGTCCAACCTGGGTATGCCTATTGGGAGCACAAAGGAATACAAAGGCCAATTGGAACCCAACAGAATTTAAAGGAAAGAGCGCTCTAATCTCACATTTTCATTTAACTCGATGTTTTTCAGGACTAATGGGCTTCAAAATTACTTATTGATCATAGTCAGTGTTGAGACTTAGAACCTGGGCAGCAATCAGTGATGTGCTCAGTATCTTGTACCTCTGTTTTTCTGTTTTCCTACTTTCTATGGCAGTGGTCAGCAAACTTCTTCCACAGGGACCACTTAATGAATATTTTAGGCTTTGTGGCCGTACTGGTTGTGTTGCAACCTCTCCAGGCAAGATGGGAACAAACGAGCAAGCTGTGTTCCAACAAACCTTCATTTACCGACGCTGAAATTGGAATTTCGTTTAATTTTGACATGTCTGGGGTTTTTTATTCTTCTATTGGTGATTTTAAAAATTATCACTTAAAATGTAAAACCATTCTTAGCTCATGGGCTGTTCAAAAACAGTGAGTGGCCAGAATTGGCTCTGTGTTGCTGGATCTATTGGATTGAATCAGTGTATTTCTCCCTTTTCATTTTAACAGTTTGGATGTTAGGTCTTCTTTTTTAAATTTAATTTTCCTTTACTATTTTATTTTATTTTATTTTGAGACAGGGTCTCATGTAACCCAGGCTATCTTTGAATTCACTATGTAGTCCAGGATGACCTTGCTCTAAGCCTCCTGCCACCACATCCTAAGTGCTGAGATCACAACTGGTTTACATTGTGCTGGAGATCAAACCCAGATTTTTTTAATTGAATTTCCTCAAATTTCATACATCTTGATCATATTTAGATGCCCCCCCATCTACTCTACCCCATAGCCTCCTCAGTGGATTTCATGCATTCTATCATATATGTAAAGGCCTATGAAGCCAAGTTTGTGTCCCCAAATGTCCCTAGGTGTGGGTTCATCCACTGGAGCCTGGTCAGCCTATCTAGTGTGACTCCCTTAAAGAAAACCAACTCTTTTCTCCAAGTAGTCATCATCAGTTGCCAATAAATAGCTCCTCAGCTAAGGTCAGGGCTTCTTACCCATTTCCCCACTTCTATGCTGTGTTTTTGTCTGATGACCACAAGGCAGAGTTTTCCAGACAGCTGGGAAGTTGTTCATATGAATTTACAGCAAGGGTGACAGCATGCACAAGACCCATGCCAGTGCAAACCCAGATTTTTGTGCACGTTAGGCAAGCACTTTACCAACTGAGGTATAGCCCAGGCCCTTGCTGTTATGCTTAGAGAAGTTATTATTAACTTTTTAATGTGAATATTTTGCTATTATGGTTTGAATGTGAAATTGCCCTATAGGCTCCTGTGTTTGAACATCTAGTCCTCACCTGGTGGTGCTGTTTGAGGAGACTATGGACCTTTGGGCTATGCGCCCTAGTTAGCAGGGCAGATCACTGGGGGAGGGCCTTGAAGGTCCAGCTTTGGTTCCAGTCTAGTTCTCTCTGCTTACTAATCTACAAGATGTGAACAAGCTGTGCCACAAGCTCCTGCTGCCATGGACTGAGCTGTGCATGTACCATGCCTTCCCCAGCATGATGGACTATGCCTTCTACACTGTGAGAGGAAATAAAACTGTCTTCCCTTAAGTTGCTTTTGTTAGGTATTTTTCTCACAGCAATGAGAAAAGTAACATATACTTATTTAACAAATCTACAGTTAAATAAACTCTCTAGCCTTGTTCCAAATAGTATGACTAAAAAATTCTATTATCCCATCATCTTCTTTCTGTGCTATTATTATCAAATACTTGCTGGCTCATTTTCTACTCTCTTTGATCAACAGTACAGCTTTTAGTATATTTCTCTATAGTTGATACTTATTTAGATGTACCTACCACTGTGGACTGAATTGTGCCCCTCTAAAGTTCATATATTGAAGCACTTGTGATAGTAGTTGAAAATGGGGACCTCAGAGACAATTAAGTTTAGTGAGGTCAAGAAGATGGGCCCCCATGACAGCATTAGTGCCTGTATAAGAAAAGGAAGTTATTGTACCTGCTGGCTAGCTTTCACAGTGCTGGAAGGTGCTGCACAGGATGGTGGGGAACAAAACTCATCAATGATCTCACCAAGGAGTGGACTACACTGTGTGCTACATACAGTATCAACTTTTCAGGCAAGATATGCCTACTAGTAGTGGCGTCACTTATGGGGGTAACAAATCATTTCTGCTTGGCTTTGAAAAAGAATTCATGCTTGACACTGTAAACCTGGGCAAAGGCCCATGGCTGGGAGGTCACAGGCCATGGAGGAGGTGGGGGTGGGACCTACTACTATTTTGCTGAATGGATATGTTATCCAACTTCCCTATAAATTGCTATACTAGTTCAGCTCTCAGCTTTGGACAGAAAAGCTTCTTTCTGAAGTGGGCAGTGGTTAATGCAACTCATAACTGGTCAAAGTGTTGAGAACAAGTAACCGTTGAGTGTTCAATTTTATATGAGACATCTGTATCACCTCCTAAGTTCGGGGACCATTGCAGAAGAAGCTGGAAGAATGTAAGAGCCAAAGAACAGAGAAGAGCACTCATGAACACACAACAGCTATAGTCACCTGTACAAGGTAAGCCCATCAACATTCCAGCTTGGATGGGGGAGGGGCTCCTGAGGTCCTACCCCTCTCTGAGGATTCATTGGCAGTTGATGGCTACAGGAGCTGAGGAGTCACTTTCTTTAAGGGGTAGCCAGTGGTCAATTGCCCATGCTCCAGCAAATAACCCCCACCTATGCTCAAGCAAGCAACCATAATTAAACTCAGTGGGCCACACACATGCACAAAAGACATAAAAAGAAGAAGGGAACTTCTTGGGAAGAAGAAGGGGCTCAGTGGGATAAGAGGATAATGGAGGTATATGTTATATTGGGGTACAAAATTGTCAAAGAATAAACTTGTTTTGTTATGTTTTGGTTTTTTGAGACATTGTCTCCCTGTAGTTGGCCTCGATCTCACAGAAATCCTCCTGCTTTCGACTCCTGAGTTCTGGGATTCAAGGTATGGTCTACCACACCCAGCCAAAGAACAATTTAAAAAAAAAAAAAGAAAGAAAAAAGTAATCTATCTCTCTATCTATCTATCATCTATCTATCTCCTCTCTCCTCTCTCTCTCTCTCTCTCTCTCTCTCTCTCTCTCTCTC